GGGGAGAGGGGGGGGGTGGATAATTACAGCGATAATAGTCAAACAAAGGAGAATCTTTCAGTGGATTTTTTTTCCATCTGCTCTCTGCTGCCGCCTTGTGTGTGATTCAGGTGAAGGACGAGAAACACGAGTGTTCTCTGGGAACGTTGACGCTGCCACTCAGCCACCTGCTGGAGGCTGAGGGCATGACGCTGCACCAGCGATTTCCTCTGAAGAACTCTGGGCCCAGCTGCACCATCAAGATGAAGATGGCACTGAGGGTGAGGAGTGACACCACAAGATGGCGCTCTCCGTTTACCTTCGCAGTGAAGGATTTGTTTTTGGTTGTTGTTGGCATTAAGTCGTCCTCCTGGAACATTTGTGTCAGTTTTTTTTTTCTAATTATTTTGCAGATTCTTCTGTTCATTTTCTTTTTGACTAAATTAAAAAAAAACTTTCATTAATATTTTAACTTCAAAAAAGGTCAATAAACCAATATCAACACGAGGTTTCTCTAAATTACAGGTGCTGTCCCAGCTCCAGGAACCTCCCTCCTCCGCCTCCATCAGCTCCAACCCCCCCTCGGTTCAGACTGGTAAAACCAACTCCTCAGACTTTGACTCAACAAAGACTCCCAGCGCCACCGCCGGCAGAGACGACATTCCACGCTCCGCCTCTGTGTCGGCCCAGGACCTGCTGAAGCGACATAAGGATGGAGCGGAGGCGCTCAGGTCTCCTGGAAGCACAGATTTACGTCAGGGTGGTGGTGCTGCTGGAGGAGGAGGAGGAGGAGGAGGAGGAGCAAACCTGGCAGAGTTTGGGAAAAGCGCTTCGAGCATGGCCCTGTCAGACTCCCAGCAGCCCCTCTCAGCAGGCAAGGAGCCGACGCCCAGCATCGCCTCCGACATCTCCAACCCTTACGCCACCCAGGAGCTGCAGCAGAGGCTCCAGCTGCTGCAAAAGTACCTGTCAATCAAACGTCCTAAGTACCTGTCAATCAAACGTCTGCAAAAGAACCTGTCAATCAAACGTCCTAAAACTCAGATGTACCTGTCAATCACTCTATGCCTTTTGCACCAGTGATTAGAGCCATTTGGACAATTCTGAGATTCACATTAACATCAAAATCTGACCATTCTCTCCATGGACTTTGGTCTGAACTAACATCTCTGATTTTCTCCATGGTCTTTGGTCTGAACTAAAATCTCTGATTTTCTCTATGGACTTTGGTCTGAACTAAAATCACTGATTTTCTCTATGGACTTTGGTCTGAACTAAAATCACTGATTTTCTCCATGGACTTTGGTCTGAACTAATCTCTGATTTTCTCCATGGACTTTGGTCTGAACTAACATCTCTGATTTTCTCCATGGTCTTTGGTCTGAACTAAAATCTCTGATTTTCTCCATGAGGTTTGGTCTGAACTAAAATCTCTGATTTTCTCCATGAGGTTTGGTCTGAACTAAAATCTCTGATTTTCTCCGTGGACTTTGGTCTGAACTAAAATCTCTGATTTTCTCCATGAGGTTTGGTCTGAACTAAAATCTCTGATTTTCTCCATGAGGTTTGGTCTGAACTAAAATCTCTGATTTTCTCCGTGGACTTTGGTCTGAACTAAAATCTCTGAAGTTTAGGACGTGATTAATTTTTAATTTCCAGTTTTGCTAAAATTAATAAAATGAATGAATGAAATGATGAGCTAACCTCCTGGTCTGTCTCTGCAGCGGCTCAGGTCCAGCCTACTTCCCTCTGGGTGAGATCCAGCTGACGGTCAGGCACAGTTCACAGAGGAACAAACTCATCGTGGTTGTTCACAGCTGCAGGTACGAACCAATGAAATCAAAGACTTCAACAACCTTTCACTGGTGATTTCTAAGATGGTCTCCTTACTGAGTGTGTGTGTCTGCGTGTCTGTGTGTGTGTGTGTGTGTGTGCAGAAATCTGATCGCCTTCACTGACCAGGGATCAGACCCGTACGTGCGGCTCTACCTGCTGCCTGACAAGCGAAGATCAGGTCGAAGGAAAACTCACACCTTCAAGAAAACGCTCAACCCGGTCTACGACCAGACGTGAGTTTGTGTTCTTGCTGCTAGCACTCGACGACCACTCGGCAACTTCGTTGCCTCCGAAAAAATCAAGTTTGTCCTGCATTAAACCCGGATTCAAACCTGACCCTCCTCCTCCCACTGGGCCACAGGGGGACCCTGAACCTCATGTTTAATTCTCTAACAGCCAGGCGATGATTTCGTACAGTGAATTTCAAAGCTGGCCTGTTTCCTGTGTTCAGGTTTGAGTTCAGTGTCTCCCTGGTGGAGCTGCACCGACGGACCCTGGACGTGGCCGTGAAGAACAGCGGCGGTCTGTTCTCCAAACACAGAGGCCTTCTGGGAAAGGTAGTTCACATTCCTTCCTTCAGTTTCTGACGCTAAAGTTTTAAAAATTCTGTTATTCTGAGCCCCAGTGTTTGTCAGCTTTGAGCATGCAGCTCCCACCCTTGGCCTGTAGGTGGTGCTAAGTACACATGTAAAAGAGCATGTGACCTGGTACTGTTCAAAGTCAGTGCAGCAAGCTAGCAATTGGTGGAGTGTAAGCTAGTACAAACTGTAGTGTGATAACCTTTGTCTTCTCTGAGGCTAGGCTAGCTCATGCTAGCTCATGCTAACGCTGCTCCTGGTACTGTTGCTCTAAAGAACGTTGTTGTTTTTGTGCTGCTGTTTTTTTTTAAACCTTCAGATTCTGGTGGAGTTGACTCAAGATGACATCACCAAGGGTTGGACCCAGTGGTGAGTCCAGACTTTCTGACTTTCTGACTGTTAAATTAGCAACAAATGAAGCCTGACCATCTGCATCGTTAGATTTATCACACAGTAAAGTTAGAGAGTTCTAATCCAAGGTAATCCCTTCATCCCAGATGGATGTTCAGTTTAGGGTCAGTGTCTTTAGTGGTGTTGATGTTGGTGATTCCAGTCCATCCTTGAGTCAGAATCGTCTTTTCTCGGACGACGTCCTGTCTGTGAGTCTCCGTCCTCTCAGGTTAAACCCGAGGTTAAACTACGACTGCGTAGTTAATCTTAATCTGAAAACCAAGTCCTGACTCTCAGACTCACTCCAGTCCAGGTTTTCTTTCAATCCCAGACACCTGTGGATCCATGTCTTCTCCTTTGACCTGCAGGTATGAACTGACAGAAGATGGTTTGCCAAAGTCTCAGCTATAGAGGGCGCTGTGACAGCTTCATCATCACCAACGATGTCGACATCTCTTCCTTCTGTTATTGGTCCATATTAGTGCGACGTCTTTGTCTGAGGAGCGACTTGGGTCACGTTGATGATTGGCCGCTGCTGACGTCATCGTCTTCATCGTCTTCATCGTCTGTCCCGACTTATCAACCAATAGCTGAACACATTTAACCACATGCTGCTTCTTTTGTTGACGTTTCTCTGCTTCGTCGGGACGTTGAACAGACGACTCCTGGTGTTAGCGTTAGCCTGTTGCTAAGTCGCCTTCTCACAGTGACCTACGTGGCTTCTCGACGCCATCGTGACATTGCAGTGTGTACGATGTTTTTAATCAAAGCCAAAGCTCTGACACCAAAAACGCATGTCGTCATGGCAACATTAGCTTGTTGTCATTTGCTTTCCTTGAACTTTTAAAATGAAACCTGATGCTGTTGTCCTTTTGATGTCGACGCTGGAACCTCTGCCGTCCTGGTTCTAACGCTAGTGACGCTAACGTCTAATGTACCATTCACATGCTTTTCATACCAGTGTAGCCTACTGGTTCTAATTCACTATTGGCTAGCTAGACGCTCACATGTCATTATCACATTATATGCTAGCACATGCTATGATATATTGTTGCATACCAGTGCCATGCTAACACAGTGGTAATCAGCTACATTCTAGCAAACTGTTAAATCACTGCTCACACATCATCATCATCATCATCATCATCATCATTTGATGTCGTCAGGTCAACACTGTCCCGGTCCGAGGTGTTGTCTTACCATCAGCGTGTTTCTTAAGCGTTGGCTCCCGTCATAAACTTGGCCTTAAAGAAGTTTCTGTTTTAGACCAATCACTGAAGCTTCTTCACCCGACCGTCTCTTGTGCGTCTTGCCCTCAGCATATCTGCGACGTCCCTGAGATTTTCATTCTCATTAGAGTCAAAAGAGAAATATCACAAATTACACGTGAGCGACAAAAGTTTTAGAGCTTCCTGTCGTGTCTTCAGATCAGTTCTGGTGAATCCCACCAGTTAATCCACCTCCTCTGATCTGTTCACTCTCAGATTTGTTCCAGCTCTTGAGTGTTGAATTCCCTGACTGACTTAAAGAGCAGGATCGCAGACTTGGTGGAACCACCTGGGGATTGTGGGTAAAGTCGCTTTAATCTATAATAAAAGTGTCGTTTTTCAGCATCAGTCTTTGATCGCCGCCGTCGTGTCGCCTCAACATTCCCTACATTCATATCCAACATACACTACGTTGTCAATCCATCACTACAGCTCCACATCGTTGACATTTTCTTGTAGATGTTTAAAAAAAAAAAAAAAGGTCAGGAAATATTTGTGTTTTTGCATTAATGAAATCACATCAGTCGCAAAAGTCAAGCTCCCCTTTAAGAAACAAATACCAGGAAAGTTTAAGATGGTTTCAGATTCAGGTGGCGCCTCCAGTGGTGACAGCCTGAATTACCCATTTCTATAAAAATGAAGCCCAGTTTATTTTCCTCCCTCGTGTTTTCGTGGAGAACAAAGATGTTTGTAAATAATATAAAAATGCCGTCTGAACACCAGAGACGGACGTCAGCGCCACCTCTACTGGCCAAATGTCTGTGTTTTGTTATTTTCTCCTCATTTTGTCTTTATTTTATTTTTTTTCTTATTTCATAACAAATAAATAATGTGGGTGGAGACTGTTAGCTTCAAGTGAAACATAGCAAAACAGTCAAACCTGATGTTAAATAATATAACTTGGTTGTATTTTTAATTTTCTACCAGTAGGGGACAGGAAGCGGAGGCATCACTTGTTTATCTCACCAAGTACCAAGCATGCGCCACAACTTCAGTAAATGCGATGGCGTCGACGTTTGGCTATAGTGGCTATGCTAGCCGATGCTTCAGACTCTGTTTGTCTTCTGTAGGTACTTATTATTTGATATTTACTTTTAGCAGTTACATAACATAATGACATTGTATTAAAAAGGTGAGCTACAGTGCCTGTCTGACCCTCATGCTACGTTAGCGACATTTGACTAGCGACAGCAGCTACAATAGGCCCTTTGACACTTGACTTGAGTAGCTAATTTACTGAGCTTTCCGTAATAATAAAATGTATCTTAATTAGTTATTTTTTTGTTAGTGCCTTAAGATGGACTTTTCTATGTTAGCCTCATTGGATTAGCTTTGGGCTAATGCAATGATGCTAAGTCAATTTGGGCTGTTTACGGCCCAAATTGACTTGTACCTGCTGTGTTGTGGTCAAGGTCGTAGCTTTGACCTTTGTCTTCGGCATCTATTTTTTTGTTAGACACGTTGATATTGAACACCTTAGCTAGCTTAGCCTCAGTATGAACAACAGTATTAGCATCAGACTTTGCAGCAGCTTTCGTTCATTCATTGGAGATTAACTGTTAGCACATGTGGCTACCGTGGCATGACGTCTCCAAGTACATGAGTAGAAACAAGTATAGCGCCCTCTTGACTATAGTAAAACGCAGTTGCCTGAACATCCCCAAAAATACATATTAAAGTTGCAAATATGAACTCTGACAATCAGAACAACAGGACATTCCAAAGATAGCGTGCAGTCGTACAGTACAAGGTTTGATTGTTTTGCTAAATCCAGATAAAATAAAATAATAAGGAAAACATCAGTTTAAGATCGATGGAAACAGCTTGTGTTTTAAAAAAGACCAGTACGTCTTAGTTGTGATTTTGTATTTGGTCGATCGTGTGCATTTAAGCTTCATATTTTATTCAATTGATCGAAAAATCCCATGTTTGTTTCTTTTAAATAAATCACAGATTTATAAAGTTAGTTTTTTTTCTAAATTAAAAGTGGAGAAATTTAACCTGTAAAGTCATGAAATTATATAAAAACATGTTCAATGTTGTGACAACAGCGTGGCTCCTGTTTTCTTGTTAAGGTTGATGCCGTATGTTAGAACACACTAATGTAATTATTGTTAAATTAGTTTTTCTTCTATGGTAGAAATGTCTGTGTTAAAATGGCTTGACACTCCAGTTGTTAGACTGTTGCAGTACAAACTTTAACCGCTAGACTTCAGTATTTAATGGTTAGGTTTATTTCAACTCGGATCAGATTTTGATTCTAGTGGAGAAACTTTTGAGTTTTTTTTTTTAGTCACACACCTACAGTAAAGATTAATTTTGTTGACGTTATATTTTACAATTAACTAAACAATATATAAAACAAATTCATGAAACACAGTTTGTTTTTAAAGTGAGAACTTTCCTTCTCTTTTTAACGGTAAGGTGTTTTATTTTGAAAAGCCAGGTCACTCTCTCGCTACTTTTTGCTACTTGTGCTGAGAAATTAAGAACGTCAATGACGTATTTAATTCTGAAAAGTCAAACACGTGCGTTAAAAGAGTCTGTATTTTGAAACGACTGACCGGAATCGATGTGGAACTGTGTGCGTATTGTCGGAAAATGTCTCCGTCCTCCTCGCCCCCTCCTCCTCTTCTTCCTGCTCCTCCTCCTCCAGCAGTGACGCCCTGCCTGCTGCCTCTGCATCCCTCTCGCCTCTTACATCCATCCTCCTCGTCACCTCCTGGCTCTCCTTCGCTCCCCCACCTGAGTTAGGAGCACCCGGAGCGGCCTGCGGACGAGCTAAAACCTCCCCGAGAGAAATGGCGGTTTAAACCTTGACAGGAATCGAAGTGGGAAAACAAACAACCATGAAAGATTTGTCGTTTTCTTGCCACCTCCTCCACCTCCTGCTCCTCCTCCCTCCTGCGCCTGCTGACAGGAGAGTCGGTGAGTATTTTTTTAAATTTTTTTTTTACAATAATTGTTTTCGTTATTCTGTCACTGGTTTTCCTCCTCAGCCATTTTCTGTTGGTGGAACGGCGGAACACGTACCAGGGAACGGTTTTCCGAGTGAATGCAGTCTTCTGTGGCGCTGTATTTTGTACATTTTATGTGTTAAATTTGGCCTCCACCTGTCAGTGAACGTATATATACGTGTATATATATATATATGTTAATGTAATATTTTATTGTTCTATATAGGTAACTACGTATACGTTTAGAAAACAAATACGCACAGATTTGCATATTTATGTTTATTTACATACACGTACACATTTAGAAACATATATTTGTGTGTGTGTGGGGACCTACTTTTAAGTGTTTATTTTATTCATGAAATGATTGACTATATTGAACAAAAGCAAGTAATTAATTGTTGGTGTGTGTGTGTGTTTCTGCAGGTTGTCTGTTTGACAGTGAACTGTGTTCAACATCAGAGATCTGTATCAACGGTAAGATGTTCGGACCCAACTTGACACTTTTAATGTTTGGATAAGTTTAGTTTAGCTTTTAATGGAGACATTGTTTGTATTTGTTTTTTTTGGTTTTTTTTTTTGAGGAACAAGGAATAAAAAGAAAAAAAAACCTCCGTGAAATAATGAGCGTTAGCCTTATTAGCTAGCCACGGATATACTTTAGCTCAGGCGCCGCACCACCACGGAGTATTAGGGCCACGTTGGGAATTTAAAAAAAGTAAAATTTAAGGGGGAAAAATACACGTACATTCAAGAACCTAAATCTATGAGAATGATATCGAAATTGTACTAGAAAATATACGTAAATTAACCAGCGTAAATATTTGAGAATAGTCAAAGTCGCAAATTTACGAGAATTTTTTAAAAAAAAAAACAAATCCTAAAAAAATTAACAATTTCTCTGCGTCTCTCTTGTTAATGTGACCCAAATTATCCGTCGTACCTCACAATTTTTAACTAATTTGAAAAAAAGTTCACTCTTAGCCAGGGAGATGGTCTCTATGATGACGCTGAAATGAGAAGAGCTAACTGCTAATCTATACGTGCTATCGCTATTCCATTCTATTTATTTCCATTATATTCCAATATTTTGCTTAATTTCGTTAATTTTCTGCTGACTTTTATCAATTCCTTTTAGCTATTTTGGTCTTACACTAACTACCTGGCTCATTTGGCTTTATGTTGCGGGGAAATATTTAGTTATTTTTAGCTTTTCTTTCCGCATTTTTTAGTGAATGTTTTGCCACCTTTTCTAAATAATGTATTTACCTCGACTGTTGTGTTAATTTGTATGGTTTATCTTAGGTACTTTTTAGAGCAACGATTTAGCGCCTTTAAGCTATTTTCTCAGCTAACCCTCTGCTAATTTCCGATTCGAATACCGGAACCTTCCAGAAATTTCTGTCCCGCCTCTTTAGCTTCGCTGTTTCTATCCATTTAACACTGTAAACGTTTAGTGTAACTACTGTGACACACTACCGTCCACAGTTCTCTTGACTAGTAAATGTACATTTTATTTGTCTGGAAACATTTCTGCATTTGATTGAAATATATACATATAGCATTATTAGCAACGTTAGCTAGTCTATGGAAGTCTACGATCAGGCTGGCTGTTAATTAAACTATTAACGTCCGCTCTGGTGAAGCTTTTCATAAAGACGTAAGGATATTATTTATAACGTCGCTGTGTGTGTGCGCGTGTGCTTTATTACTTGTTTTAATATTTTTACGTTGAGTGTGATTTATATGTGACTCTTGGTCTTTTCGTCTCTGTCTCCACAGATGGTGTGTTTGGACAGTGTAATTCTCTTCCACTGAAGGACGTTGACACCTTCGATATCTCTCCGTCTGTGGTGCAAAGATTTAGGATTCTGCTGGAAAAGCTCTCCAACAGAGGTAACACTCTCGGGGCTACTTACCTCCTGAAAAATTATAATAATATAAAGAATCACCATATTTGTCTTGAAATAGTCAAACCAGTTCAGTCCTGCTGTAAGAAACTTCCTATCCCATCATAACTAAACCAAACTGTAGACTTCACCTTCAGACACCGTTGTTGAAGTATATGGACTTCACCCCAAAAAATGACATACTTAGTAAATACACATTTTTTTTAAAAGAATTTCTGTACTTTAAAATATCTCTTTGTGAAATCTCTGAGCCAACGTGACACTGACATGTTGTTACAGCTTAGGACCACAAGAGGGTGGTAGAGTAAGTTGCATAACTAGGTAAAAACTGTAAGCAGCCTAAGATTTCCTCCTTGGGCCTTCTCACCTCCTCCTTCTTTGGGAACATTGACCCTGTGTAGGTTCTGCTGTGGTTCTGATGGTTCTCCGCTTCTCTGTCTCAAGGTCTGACCTGGAACGATGAGGCCACACAGCAGGTTCTGTCCAGGGAGTTGTCCAAAATGAGGAGAGTTCCCTCCAGGTCACAGCCAAGAGAACCTGGGTTGGATGATGTCAGCAGGTGTGAACACAGAGCTGTGTGATGTAGAACTGTGGTGTAGAACTGTGATGTAGAACTGTGTCTTTCCTCACGGTGTCAAACCCCAGGCTTGCAGCTGAAGCTGTGGACCAGAGTGTGAAGCCAGTGGAGGTGGAGCTGGGTAAGAACCTCCACCTGTACCTCCAAGGTCTGGGCCTCATTCCTCCGATGTCATCTGCTGCTGGACACAAGACTGTTGCCAAGGTGAGAGGACTCTGGGAGGTCTGTGTGTGAGACAGCACCAGATACGTGTCTCCACTAAAATCCATCTTCTCTGTTTTTTACTTCAACACTTCACATCTAAGTTAAAAGTGCCCATTAACACGTACTGGGTTATTTAAGAAGCCTCACACAGAGACATCTCCACCGGGGAGTCACACTGTGCTCGCCTGTTGTCACTCCTCTCCTGACTGATGGTTCCTCTCAGCACGACCGTTACCATACTCATAAAACCAGCACAAGGTTCAGGAGTTCAAGGCTCTAATCAATAACTCTCCATGTGACGGGTTCCACTCACTTCATCTTCAGGCTCTTTTATCTTCTGGAGGCTTGGACCACATTTAATTGTGTTGGACCGTGTGGAGCCCCCGGTGGCAGGTTTGGGAGAAAGAAACAAGCGGGAAAACAGACTGAATAAACTGAGAGATTCTGGTCCACACAAAACCAGTTGTTACTGAGCCGTGGTTCTAAGTTCAGAAGGATCACAGTCTGACCTACTACTACTGTCACATGTATATTTTTGTATTGTCCATGATGGATGTGGATGTTGGAGCTGACGTCCAATCATATTTCAGTGGTCATCTGTTGCCAGGGTCAAATAAATCTTAAGAAAAATGTCAAAGTAAAAACCTTCTTTCTTTCTTTCTTTTTTTCTTTTTCTACCTGACTTTTTCTCATTGGTCGTTCCTCCTGACCCTCAGTACCCAGTGGCCCAGTCCTTGTCTCAGAGGTGGCCTCCTCGGAGCTTCTCCTCACCTCACCAACCCCTGCAGCAGCAGTACAGATATGGACCTGGGTATTTCCAAGCCCCAGAGTCAAAGGGAGGTCTTCTCCAGTATCTTATAGGAAACATGGAGGACTTTGGAGTCCCTTCTTCACCGCTGCTGCCATCCCACAGTGACAGAGCAGAGAGTCCAAAGTCCAGGGTCCTGAAGATGGAGACTGCAGGGTCCTCAAGCAAAGACCTGCTAACATCTGTCGATGGTGAGTGAGTGATGTTGAGGCAGTGGAAGGAGAAGTCCTTCCCATCTTTTTACCTTTCTGTGAACAGTCATTATGGTGTTTGGGTGGAAACCCGTTGTTTTTACAGTAATTGGTCCAAAAGCTTTGTTTCATTGCACTCATTGTCAAATACCTCGTTTGGAAATGTTGGTCATCTTCAAAACGAAGGGACACAGGGCGAGGAGAAATATGTGTGAACTTATGGCACGTGTACAGTTTAGTCATTTTAACATCCAGATTATTTTAATATCCAGATATTGCCCGGCCCTAGCCTCTTCTAAAAAAAAAAGGAAACATACATTTTGTTAACATAGCGTCCTCCACATTTGCTAAGAACACTGCACTCATGTTGTCTTTGTGGACCAATGTCCTCAGTGAGGTGAGACTTCTAGTCACGCAGACTCTGCCTGTTCCCTCGGCCCCTGTTTAGACCAAGTCAAACAGAGGAAAGAGAATAACGTGTTGGCAGGCAGACGGCAGACGGGTCTTCACCCCACGACACTGTGCTGGTGTTCTTACGTACAAATCAAGATCTAAAAACAGACTGAGACTGAAACTGTGACGGAGCAGGACCGTCATCAAGACTAGGGTTAGGATTCAATGATACAGGCTATCATTGAATCATTAAAGGATTAGAAACATCTATTTATGTACGTTGTTGTTCTAATGCTGTGACCCTCCTCCTATTGCTCCTCCTCCTATTGCTCCTCCTCCTATTGCTCCTCCTCCTATTGCTCCTCCTCCTATTGCTCCTCCTCCTATTGCTCCTCCTCCTATTGCTCCTCCTCCTATTGCTCCTCCTCCTATTGCTCCTCCTCCTATTGCTCCTCCTCCTATTGCTCCTCCTCCTATTGCTCCTCCTCCTATTGCTCCTCCTCCTATTGCTCCTCCTCCTATTGCTCCTCCTCCTATTGCTCCTCCTCCTATTGCTCCTCCTCCTATTGCTCCTCCTCCTATTGCTCCTCCTCCTATTGCTCCTCCTCCTATTGCTCCTCCTCCTATTGCTCCTCCTCCTATTGCTCCTCCTCCTATTGCTCCTCCTCCTATTGCTCCTCCTCCTATTGCTCCTCCTCCTATTGCTCCTCCTCCTATTGCTCCTCCTCCTATTGCTCCTCCTCCTATTGCTCCTCCTCCTATTGCTCCTCCTCCTATTGCTCCTCCTCCTATTGCTCCTCCTCCTATTGCTCCTCCTCCTATTGCTCCTCCTCCTATTGCTCCTCCTCCTATTGCTCCTCCTCCTATTGCTCCTCCTCCTATTGCTCCTCCTCCTATTGCTCCTCCTCCTATTGCTCCTCCTCCTATTGCTCCTCCTCCTATTGCTCCTCCTCCTATTGCTCCTCCTCCTATTGCTCCTCCTCCTATTGCTCCTCCTCCTATTGCTCCTCCTCCTATTGCTCCTCCTCCTATTGCTCCTCCTCCTATTGCTCCTCCTCCTATTGCTCCTCCTCCTATTGCTCCTCCTCCTATTGCTCCTCCTCCTATTGCTCCTCCTCCTATTGCTCCTCCTCCTATTGCTCCTCCTCCTATTGCTCCTCCTCCTATTGCTCCTCCTCCTATTGCTCCTCCTCCTATTGCTCCTCCTCCTATTGCTCCTCCTCCTATTGCTCCTCCTCCTATTGCTCCTCCTCCTATTGCTCCTCCTCCTATTGCTCCTCCTCCTATTGCTCCTCCTCCTATTGCTCCTCCTCCTATTGCTCCTCCTCCTATTGCTCCTCCTCCTATTGCTCCTCCTCCTATTGCTCCTCCTCCTATTGCTCCTCCTCCTATTGCTCCTCCTCCTATTGCTCCTCCTCCTATTGCTCCTCCTCCTATTGCTCCTCCTCCTATTGCTCCTCCTCCTATTGCTCCTCCTCCTATTGCTCCTCCTCCTATTGCTCCTCCTCCTATTGCTCCTCCTCCTATTGCTCCTCCTCCTATTGCTCCTCCTCCTATTGCTCCTCCTCCTATTGCTCCTCCTCCTATTGCTCCTCCTCCTATTGCTCCTCCTCCTATTGCTCCTCCTCCTATTGCTCCTCCTCCTATTGCTCCTCCTCCTATTGCTCCTCCTCCTATTGCTCCTCCTCCTATTGCTCCTCCTCCTATTGCTCCTCCTCCTATTGCTCCTCCTCCTATTGCTCCTCCTCCTATTGCTCCTCCTCCTATTGCTCCTCCTCCTATTGCTCCTCCTCCTATTGCTCCTCCTCCTATTGCTCCTCCTCCTATTGCTCCTCCTCCTATTGCTCCTCCTCCTATTGCTCCTCCTCCTATTGCTCCTCCTCCTATTGCTCCTCCTCCTATTGCTCCTCCTCCTATTGCTCCTCCTCCTATTGCTCCTCCTCCTATTGCTCCTCCTCCTATTGCTCCTCCTCCTATTGCTCCTCCTCCTATTGCTCCTCCTCCTATTGCTCCTCCTCCTATTGCTCCTCCTCCTATTGCTCCTCCTCCTATTGCTCCTCCTCCTATTGCTCCTCCTCCTATTGCTCCTCCTCCTATTGCTCCTCCTCCTATTGCTCCTCCTCCTATTGCTCCTCCTCCTATTGCTCCTCCTCCTATTGCTCCTCCTCCTATTGCTCCTCCTCCTATTGCTCCTCCTCCTATTGCTCCTCCTCCTATTGCTCCTCCTCCTATTGCTCCTCCTCCTATTGCTCCTCCTCCTATTGCTCCTCCTCCTATTGCTCCTCCTCCTATTGCTCCTCCTCCTATTGCTCCTCCTCCTATTGCTCCTCCTCCTATTGCTCCTCCTCCTATTGCTCCTCCTCCTATTGCTCCTCCTCCTATTGCTCCTCCTCCTATTGCTCCTCCTCCTATTGCTCCTCCTCCTATTGCTCCTCCTCCTATTGCTCCTCCTCCTATTGCTCCTCCTCCTATTGCTCCTCCTCCTATTGCTCCTCCTCCTATTGCTCCTCCTCCTATTGCTCCTCCTCCTATTGCTCCTCCTCCTATTGCTCCTCCTCCTATTGCTCCTCCTCCTATTGCTCCTCCTCCTATTGCTCCTCCTCCTATTGCTCCTCCTCCCCTCATACTGCAGACCAGGAAGTATGAGGTCAGACTGGAGCTGACTGTGTTCTATCACAGTAGGAGGAGGAAGAGGAGCGATCACACTCCTACTCTGGAGGAGGAACCAGGAGCTGAGACTTCAGTCCTGATTCTATGATGAAGGAAATACTCCTCCTATTGCTCCTCCTCCTATTGCTCCTCCTCCTATTGCTCCTCCTCCTATTGCTCCTCCTCCTATTGCTCCTCCTCCTATTGCTCCTCCTCCTATTGCTCCTCCTCCTATTGCTCCTCCTCCTATTGCTCCTCCTCCTATTGCTCCTCCTCCTATTGCTCCTCCTCCTATTGCTCCTCCTCCTATTGCTCCTCCTCCTATTGCTCCTCCTCCTATTGCTCCTCCTCCTATTGCTCCTCCTCCTATTGCTCCTCCTCCTATTGCTCCTCCTCCTATTGCTCCTCCTCCTATTGCTCCTCCTCCTATTGCTCCTCCTCCTATTGCTCCTCCTCCTATTGCTCCTCCTCCTATTGCTCCTCCTCCTATTGCTCCTCCTCCTATTGCTCCTCCTCCTATTGCTCCTCCTCCTATTGCTCCTCCTCCTATTGCTCCTCCTCCTATTGCTCCTCCTCCTATTGCTCCTCCTCCTATTGCTCCTCCTCCTATTGCTCCTCCTCCTATTGCTCCTCCTCCTATTGCTCCTCCTCCTATTGCTCCTCCTCCTATTGCTCCTCCTCCTATTGCTCCTCCTCCTATTGCTCCTCCTCCTATTGCTCCTCCTCCTATTGCTCCTCCTCCTATTGCTCCTCCTCCTATTGCTCCTCCTCCTATTGCTCCTCCTCCTATTGCTCCTCCTCCTATTGCTCCTCCTCCTATTGCTCCTCCTCCTATTGCTCCTCCTCCTATTGCTCCTCCTCCTATTGCTCCTCCTCCTATTGCTCCTCCTCCTATTGCTCCTCCTCCTATTGCTCCTCCTCCTATTGCTCCTCCTCCTATTGCTCCTCCTCCTATTGCTCCTCCTCCTATTGCTCCTCCTCCTATTGCTCCTCCTCCTATTGCTCCTCCTCCTATTGCTCCTCCTCCTATTGCTCCTCCTCCTATTGCTCCTCCTCCTATTGCTCCTCCTCCCCTCATACTGCAGACCAGGAAGTATGAGGTCAGACTGGAGCTGACTGTGTTCTATCACAGTAGGAGGAGGAAGAGGAGCGATCACACTCCTACTCTGGAGGAGGAACCAGGAGCTGAGACTTCAGTCCTGATTCTATGATGAAGGAAATATCTGTTCATATCCTTGTATGTCACTGCTACACCAACTCCTCCTCCTCCTTCTCCTCCACTCTACCATTTATTTAATCACATCATTATAAACAATAAGCAACGACTGTTTATGTTGGATGTTTTTAAGCCAAACTAATGAAAAGTTGAGGAACTCTTTCCTCCTGACTGACAGCTGACTTTTCTCTCTCCAGAGAGGTTCATCCAGAAGGTTTTGAAGAACGTTGGAAGGCAGCATGTGGACGTGGATGATCTGACACCTCAAGACCTGGATCAGCTCTCCAACCTGATTGCCAATGCTCTGCAGGTGGTGGACCAGGACCAGAGACTGAACCCAAGACCTAATCAGGCTGGACCTGGACCAAGAAATCTGCAGAGTGAGCAGCAAGAAGAAGAAGAATCCAAAGAAGAAATGACGGACACTTCTACAGATGAAGAGAAAGAGAAGGTTTTGAAGAACGATCCATCCTTGAAACCTCAGGGAATTTTCCCCATTGAACCAGCTTCACTTCAAGGTAATTCTTTAACAGCTTCTTTCAGCTGTTTCAGACGACAGCATCTAATGCTAACATTTGACCTGAGCTCATGGAACCTCACCTAATAAACAAATGTTTATTAAAAGCTCAGATGGTGTGAGTTTTCAGGGCAGGATTTTACCCAGAGTCTTGTTCTGCTGCTGAACGAAGGACACTGAAAAACAATGGAATGTCTTTGTTCTTCCAGATCGTCACACAGGAAGTGAGGAGATGAAAGTGAAGGACACAATGGTGAGAAGAACTTATCTACAACAAATATGTCCACCATCAAAAAGAGGAAGCAAATATTTTATACTGTGTTTCCAGTTTGCTCCCTCTGATTTTAAATGGTTTGGTGTCTTTTTCAAAATAGCTTAGTAGCGCCCCCTAAATCACAAAACACAGAAAAGGTGAATCAAAAATATATTTGCTGTAACACTGTTTTTCTTCCTGTGGTTTAAACACAGTAAAAGGTTATCATTATTAGCTTATTAGCCAGTAGCTTCTGAGTACCCCCTCATTCTGTCCACATTCTGAGCTCGTCACACTGATGCAGCGCCACATAGTGGACTGAAGGAGCACAGATGTGAAGTACCAATAAACCTCTTTCACACCTCCATGTTTATCTGTTTTTCTAGGATAGGGCAGGAAACCTTCTCACCAAGCTGCTGGCGTATCTTGACAAACCATCGCACGGTGCTTCTCCATCAGTACGAAATCTGAACGCTGATCTCACGGACACGTCCGCAGGAAAGGTAGCGGGACAGGAAAACGTCCAGAGCCAGACCATTGAGGCTGGAGTGGTGGTGCAAAAGAAGGACGCCACACAGGCCGTGGAAGAAGTGTCAGAAGTCGAGGGCTGGATCAAGGAAGTGGCGCCCCCTCCCGCTTCACTCGTGTATGGCAAGCCACGTGAGAAGACGATGCAAGTTCCTGAGCTTGAACTAGACGTCAAAGATGGCAGGAAGAAGGCTGACGATGACGTCTTTGGCTACGTCATCATAGACACAGAGTAAGTACCAAGTCTTTGGTCTAGAGCCCAGAACATTCCAGATTATTTTCAGTCTGTATGGTGGAGGAATACATGTTAATATATACTGTATATATTTGGTGTGAGGAGCAAAGCTAAAGTAGCTGGATGTCAGTCGTTAATAGATACCTGCTCCTTGTTCTCCTCCTTCTCTCACTCCTCTGCTGACCTTGTCCTCTCGTGTTTTTTCACCCACCTCCCGTCCACCTTGTCCCACTCCCTCAGTGGACTCCAGACCGATGAAGGCGTCCACCTGATGGAGATCCTGGCCCGTCGAGCTAAGATCCAGATGACTGACGTTGCTGAATTCTCGTATGTATGCTGCAGTTTTTAGGCCTTAGTATCGACCGCCTCCTAACCCTGCTCTAAGGGAGTCGAGCCAAGCTAGCTGGACCAAAGTCCATGGAGAAAATCAGTGATTAGTGACTGACGGTAGACATTGACTTTAGTCCTTTATCTGACTGACAAAAAGCCGACTGTTGTGTGGACATGTTTTAGTCTCTGCCTCAGAATAAAGGTTTTCACTTGACACTGACATTAATAAGAGCAATAATTTCATGATATTTTTCCTAATTCTGCCAAATTTCTCACTCTGTTCTGGGGAGAATTTGTGTCGGTTTCTCTCACCCCTCTCACTCCCTCCAACCCCCCCAGCGCTCATAGCAAAATGGCGTTTTTGGACCCGTGTGGTCCGTACTCTTTTCTTCTTTGTTCTCTCGCCGTGCCAGCGGCAGATCTGAGGACAGTGACAGATCGCAGACACAGAGAAGCAGGAGGAAGCTGAGGCTTTCTGTTGTCGTTAGCACAGTGAAAGCCCAGCAGGGGGAGCTGACTTGATAATTCATCAGAGGTGTCAGTACCCAGTGTTGGCAACAGAATCGTCATATGTCACTAACACATAGGTGGAACAGGTTTTGGCTAACCTCGAGCTTATGTTGCTATATTTAATAAAGTTGTAGGTTTTTGCTAACTTCTTGCAAATTAATAAATATTTGGCTAACGTTGTCTACGTTTTAATTTTTGGCATCCATTTTCTTTTTTAATTTTGATGAGTATTTAGCTTTTATTGCTAAGCGTATGCTACCTTTAAGCCACATTAGCTCTGTGCTCTTTTAATCAAGTCAAATGTGTTTGTATGGAACAAATGGACAGATTTAAATTAGAATCACGGCCGTCCTCCTACAAGGGCCAAACGGAGGAGAGTCCTGTAACTGCAGTTAAATATTTGATGTTGAAGCTTTTGTTGTGGTTTGTTTGTTGATGGTGTTCAGGGTGGTGAGCCCGGCCGTCACCTTCAGAGTCAACCAGAACCGCCAGAACGTCAGCACAGCGGATGTGGCCAATGTGGCAGGTAGAGATGGTTCTCCACACACCTGAGTGACGTCTGAGTGTGGGTGAGGGTGAGAGAGAGAGAGAGAGAGAGAGTCAGAGTGGGTGAGAGTGTATGGGTACTCTGTTACACACACACACACACACCTTGAAATACCCTGGATGAACGCCTGATAGAAAACAGCTCAGGTCATTTTGAACTTTCTTTGTGTGTGTGTGTAGTTCAACAGAAAGCTGATCTGGAGAAAGAAACCAGACTCAGAATCCTGGAGGCCGGTGTTGCAGACGTGAGTACAAAAACAACAGGTCAAAGTTCAGGGATTTCTTCCTGGATGTAGAACTCCAGGAACATTCCGTTTTCAACCCTTCTCTCCTTCCTTCCTTCTGTTCTTTCTCGATTTCTTTCATCCCTTTTTCTTCCTTCCTTCCTTCCTTCCTTCCCTCCCTCCCTCCCTCCTTCATATTATGTTATATTTTCATTCTTCTTCTCCCTTCTCCTCTCCCAGCCTTTCTTCTGTCCTCCCCTGTGCTCCTCCTTCCTCCTGTTCTTCTTTAAGTCCTTCCATCCCGCCTCCTTTCTCCCTTATTTGATTCCTGTGATTCTTCTTTCCTCTGTCGTCAACATGTGGAGTTGTCTCCATGGCAACTAGGGGGAGGGGCTATCTGCCTCTACGCCGTCTCTCCACCCTTCCTCTGTGGTGGAGGAGTTTGAAGGAGCAAAGAGATCTCCCCCCCTCTCTCCTCTCTCTCTCTCCCTCACATCCTTTTTTTTCCCGTTGTATCAGACATGAAATGGGACCCAATCACAGTTTTCCTTTAAACCCTCAGATGAAAAGAATGGTTAAATGAGCAGGAGGAGGAGGAGGGGAGGTGAAGGAGGAGCAAGAGGAGGAGGATACTTATATTGGATTATTCCAGTCTCCTCAAAGGAAAGAAAGGAGATGCTACGGAGAGATGGAACTCCCTCTCTCTCCGTTTCCTCCTCCCTGCTCTTGCTGTGGTGCTTGTTGCTGAATGGAATTATGGAGGACAAGGTGAAGGAGGCAGAGGAGGAGACAAGGGAGGACTACGAGTCTTCTTCACTGTGATGACGTGAGGCAGATGTTTGTGCAGGTGGGTGAGGAGAGAAGAAATTCCTCCACCATCCGTCCATGAACTTCTCCTCCTGCTCCTTCCTCTCCTCCTCCACCTCTTTCATGGCTAACACACATCAATTAGCTAAAGGCTAGCACTTGTTCCAAGGCTAACTGTAAGTTCCTTTACCATATTTAAGCTACGTGACAAAATACTGTTTTGTCAACAGTTTTACCGCCGCTGACCGGTGGTAAAACTGATGTCTTATACCAGGTGTAATTATAATGATAACTTTTGTTCACGTCCTGTTCAGATCCTGTTTTTATTCAGTTCAGCTAAAGCTGAAAAAAGCAGCTTTTTTTTTTTTCTCGGTCCTTAAAGGGGAAGCAGATCAAGCAGATTCCAACCAAATACAGTCATGCTGAGTCCACCAAGTTCCTGGTCCTCACCGTGGTGTCCATTCTCTGCATCGTGGCCGTGCTGCTGGCCTCCACAGTTGTCTACTGCCTCCGACACCGCTCCCACCACAAGATCAAGGAGAAGCTCACCAACCTGGGGACGGAAACCAGCGGAGATGCTACTGCCACCTACCAGGTCGGAGGTCTATTTTATTAAACAAACCCTTTATAATACTAAAACTTCACATAGACCAGTACTTCTCAAATAGTGGCTCAAATAATGGAATATGGCATGCTGGACATCAGTGTACCACTGCTGTAATGCTTGAACAAAATTACAAGCCTGCAGTCACTAGGTGGCAGCATCTCATACAGTGGATGCAGATAAAGATATAGATGTTGTCAATAGTATGTCAATTTGCAGGTGAGGGGGGGCATGACAGAGAATAATTAAGAACTGACATAGACATGGTTAATCCAGACACGCACATACAGAACCACACACACCGTATACATACATACATACAAATACATATATACACACACATACACACATACATATATATGTGTATATATGTATACATATATACACATATATATGTATGTGTGTATGTGTGTGTATATATGTATTTGTATGTATGTATGTATACATATACTGTATATACATGTGTATATGTGTATACATATATACACATATATGTATACACATATATATGTATATACAGTATATGTGTGTATATATGTGTATATATATGTGTATATATGTATATATGTGTGTGTATATATGTATATATATGTATGTGTGTATATATGTATATATATATGTATAAATACACGTTTGTGGTTTGACTGTGGCCAAGTGATCACGTGACACAGCTGTAACATCTAACAAACACTGATGAAAAAGATTCTTTAAAGGAATATAAAAGTAGACGTTTATTCTCCACCAGATCTTGTTTCTTCATAATAAACGTCTAGGACATGGACAGCCCACTGAATGTATTTTCATCCTCAACTCTCTTTCCTCCGGCATATCTGAAGGAACTGTGTCGTCAGCGAATGGCGGTCAAACCTCCATCTGAGCGTCCAGAGTCCGTCTCTTCCAGAATCAACAGCGTTTCCTCTCAGTTCAGCGATGGCGGTGGAGTTCCTGCTCTCAGTCCTTCAGCCAGGAGCAGCGTCTCCTCCTGGAGCGAGGAGCCCGTTCACTCCAACATGGACATCTCCACTGGTCACATGATCCTGGTCAGTTTTTCTTTTTTTTCACTTTTCATTTCATTTGAGTCATCTGAAAAAGTCACTGGTCAGACCATGACACTTCACATATCAAATATAACTATTTCAGTTGATGATGGGGTTTTTACAGAGTCCTGACAAAGAAAGGATCATTGGATTTGATCACAGTTTGATCTAGAGCTACAGTACGTTATACTCAGTTGCATGTATCGTTACATCCTTACGTTTGTCTGAAGCCCAGCTTTTCTTCTGCTCATTAATCAAATGCAGTGACTTTACCCAGACTGCACTTCACCTGTTATAATGAATTATTGATGTTCTTCTCTTGTTTAATGAAATCCCATAATAAAAGCAGGACATTATCCTGTCACACCGGAGCCTCCACTGCCACATTACTCATTTTAATCCATTAGTGCTGTTTTTGTGCGTGATCTAATTCTGACGAATGTCCACGGAGCTCCTTTGTTACTGTCAGCATTCATCACAGGAGGAGTCGTTAAGGGGAGCTCAGCTCCTCCTTTCTGCTCCTTCCTCCACCGCTGCCACAGTACAGGGTTCCTGCTAATGTTCACCGTTTAGAACTGTTTAGTGCCCGGCTCAGAGCTGATCCCGTTTTAATCTGTGCTCTCCTTCCTCCATCTTCTCCTGCAGTCCTACATGGAGGATCACCTGAAGAACAAGGACCGTCTGGAAAAGGAGTGGGAGGCGCTGTGTGCTTACCAGGCCGAACCCAACGCCTGCACCGTCGGCCTGAAGGACGGCAACGCCAAGAAGAACCGATCTGCAGCGGTGGTGGCATGTAAGGAACTGTCTGTGTTTCTGAGAGCAGGGTCTGAACATTTACCTGTCAAATTATGCTGTGTGTACCACTGGTGGTACTCAGGCTCCCTCTTGTGTTCATCAAGGAAAACTGTTTTTTTTTTCCTCCTCCATTGGCAGTTACAGTGTAGTGTCAGAATAGAACAGCGTTTGATCAACAGTCGAATAACGTGGTTCATATCCCGGTCCAATCTGAACAGATTAGAACAGAGAACCACGGTTCTCCATGGTGTCATCTTAGATTGTTCTAGATCATGTAATACGAAACATACGTCATTTTTTTTAGGCTATTTTGACCACTTTTTGTGCATAGACACAGAAAGCTATTTACACCCAAACTCTGTTTTCTGCTAACTTTTTTAGCTAACTGTTATCTGCTCTTTTCAGCTCATATACGCCTACCTATTTGTGAAGGCTAGCTATCTCTTGGTTAGCATTTGATTATGTGTTTGACCTTTTTTTTTTCTTTGTGTTCTGGCTGACCTTTCACAGGTTGTTTTTTTTTCGTCTGCTGTTGTAGGAAATGTGCTAACAGTAACCTGTGGGTGTGCTAGTTTTGTGTATTTCCTGAGGAGACTTCATTCCATCCTTCCTTTACCAGATGATCATTCCAGAATCACCCTGAAGGTGGAGAACAGCCAAGGGAACTCTGACTACATCAACGCCAGTCCTATTGTCAGTACTGTACCTCTCATTTTCACAATTCAGCACCTTGGTATGCTAACCATACAGCTAACCGTACAGCTAACCGTACAGCTAACCGTACAGCTAACCGTACAGCTAACCGTACAGCTAACATCACTTCATTTAATGCTGTTTTTTTTTTTTTTTTGGCCCTTTTTCCTTCTGTGCTCAGTGTTGGGTTGTTGTGCTTCTGTGTCAACATGTTCCAACCTGATGTCATTTCCTGTGCCACAGATGGATCATGATCCCAGGAACCCAGCCTACATCGCCACCCAGGGGCCGCTGCCCTCCACTGTAGCTGATTTCTGGCAGGTAAGAAAAAACAACAAAGAACACAAATGTCTTCAACTAACTAAATAAATGACTAACTTACAAATCAATAAATCCATCCATTAACCAACCATAAAAAAAACAACTTCTACTAACTAACCAACCAACCAAGTAAGAACATGCACTGTACTTAGTACTCTACCTAGTTCCTGGTACTAATTTCTGTAATAGAAAAGTGAAGTTCAAGCTCTTTTGTTCCCAGTTTGTTTTAAAGACAGTCAGTGATTTAAATGTTGTTGATATTTTTTAAACTACGAGAAAATAAACAGAAATATATTTGATCTTTAACTGAAGAGCTGGGCCATGAACGTTTGCTGGTCTTTGCAGATGGTTTGGGAGAACGGCTGTGTGGTCATCGTCATGTTGACTCCTCTGGTGGAGGGAGGCCTGAAACAGTGCTACCACTACTGGCCAGATGAAGGATCCAACCTTTACCACATCTACGAGGTACGAAGTAACCGATTGTCGGGGGTTACTTCCATCCTAATGAACTGACCCATGAGTCCATTCTTTTCCACAAAGGTCAACCTGGTGTCAGAGCACATCTGGTGCGACGACTTCCTGGTCCGCAGCTTCTACCTGAAGAACATGCAGACCAACGAGACGCGGACCGTCACCCAGTTCCACTTCTTGACCTGGCTTAACCACAACGTACCTGAGAGCAGTCGGACGCTGCTGGACTTCCGCAGGTAGAAACAACAAACTTGATCTATTTTCTGGTCTGTAGCTGTGTCAGGCTGCTGCCTACATGTTTAGAGGAGGAATGGTAAAATAGGCCAACAGGAAGTCACAACGTTGATAAAGGTCCCAGCTAGCCTTCAGGAGGTACAACGCCTGTTCCACCTACCCCTCTCCGTTGGTTGGCTAACGGACATTAGCTGTGGTGTGGCGCATAGATTAAATGATAGTTTTGTTCCACATTTAGTATTAAGAAACCTTCAGTTTGGCATTACAACATATTTTGATAAAAAAAAAAGTCCAAAATATGGTTTAAAGTCAGGATAAAGTTAGGGACAGTCAAATATTTAAGATCTGAACGTTAGATCAGAAGTCAAAAAACTTTTTGTTTTTATTCTTTTTTTACTTTGTGCTCATGTTGGCATGTTTTTGTTGTTTTCTTTTTTAACCTCCTTCGTCATTGACTCAGCCCCTGCTTCCTTTGCTTCCTTCCTTCCTTCCTTTCCTTCCCTCCTGTCCTTCAGCTCACTAACTCGCAGTTGCCAGTGTCATTTTTGTGACGTTGCAGCTAGTGATATGAACCCAGTTGCATAGTCACAAAAGTGATCATTGGAGACTGTGACTCCGCAACCAGTCTTCCCTCTGACTCCGCCCACTTTGACTCCTCTGTTCAAACCTCCGCTCGGCTCTAGTGGCTCCTTATGTTGTTCTGTTCTGCTGCTTATTAGTTTTTTCTGATGGGATAAAGAGTGTTTCAACCTCTGGTTCAGTTGGAAAAACTAATTTTGACAGTGAAAAAGTCTTCGGTCCAGTTTATGTCACGTGTCGTTGTCGTCACCTGGTTAACACCGCTGTTTGTTCATTAATTCTTACAGGAAGGTGAACAAATGCTACCGTGGACGCTCCTGTCCCGTCATCGTCCACTGTAGGTCAGTATTTTCACCGAACGTCCATTAGTGGAGCAGCAAAAAAGAGCTAAATATTAGCCACCATTGCTACAACTTAGCCTGAGAGTAAAATTAGTCTAAATAAACAAATACCAAAGAAACATTTTGAGTTCTGTTGTTGACTTTCTAACACCCCCACCCTCCATGTCTCCTGCCTCCTCCATACAGTGATGGCTCAGGAAGATCTGGCACCTACGTCCTGATCGACATGGTCCTCAACAAGATGGCTAAAGGTGGGTTTTGTTAGTGGCAGTTTTCTTGTTGAATGAGTGGCCTCTCAAAGTGAAACTCTACATGTCTTACAATAAACCATAAAGACAAGTTTTCCTGGAGAAGGGCTCTAGCCATTTGTGAGGTGAGATTATAAATTGGAGGCGCTAAAGCAATGCTCCCTCCAGCAGATGGTGCTCTAGGGCCTAAACCAGCTCAGTTTTTCTGAGCTGGTTTATCAGAGTTGTTCCATGATGCCTGGCCTTGGTTGTATCTAAGGTCAAAGTTCTCCAGGATTCTCGGGGCTCAGCGCTGCCTGCAGCCCTGGTCCAACCGTTTCTTCTTCTGTTGTGGTGGTTGTTTGAGGAACGACTGTTGTTAGGTGTGGTGTTTGATTTGAAGATTGACAGCAGATGATCTGTGTTACCCAAACAAACTCTCCCATCTGCTTGTTCTGTTGTCTAAACCCAGGCACCGCCTGCTGGGTGGGGTAAGAATCTCATGCATAGTTTTGAAATGACTAGCCTGAGTGACACCAACGTTTTCTTAACAGAGATTAGACCAGTTGTCCTGATGACTTGTCAGTCAGACTTGAATTCTTCTTGTATGAATCGGCACAAACTTCAATTTCTTGGACAAGAGTCTGGTTTTTCATTGACTTGGAGACTTGTATTAACCTGCATGTGTGCAACACAACATGGGACAATGACAGGGTCTCACAGGATACAGACAGACAACCATTCACACTCACATTCACACCTTCGAGGAGTTTACAGTGAATAACTTAATATTACATTAATTACACAAAATAATGAATACATTATTCAATTAATAATCTGAAACATGGAGAGAAAAAAGTTATTTAACCTTTGGTTTCAAAAGTAACAGAAATAAATCAGCATTGCACATGGATGAAATACAGTACAGCATAGAAAGTCATTGTAAAAGACAAATTCCTCCAGCTTTAGTACAAAACAAAACACTCACTCACCCTGGGAGACCACGAGCTAGAGCCAAGGATTGAACTGGAGATCCTCATGCTTTAAGGCTAAAGATATCATACCACTCTTCCATGGTTTCCCAAAAATGTTACAATGAAACAAAACTTTTATTAGATTTACTTTCTGACATTTAACCTTCAAATTTAATACGTTTCTACTATACATGTATACATGTATGTATACATTTAGCTAAGTGCTTTTTGCCTCAGTTACATGTGTTTTTTTAGCCACATTCCCCTGTGGTGTCACACCTAGAGTTGAAGGACATTTTTTTGTGTTGGTCTTTGTCTGCAACAAACCAGCACAGTTACCCAGGCCCCAAAAACAGGTTACCAGTCATTACTCACTCCGGTTCCTCCCCCTTTGTAAGTGACTCATAAGCTGGTGAATTTTCCAGTCCTTCTTGCAGTGAGCTCTAAGCTGCTTCACAGTTTCTCTGAGGAGGTGAAATGGAGCAGAAACAAAATTCGTTAGACCTCGAAAGATTTTGCTGTATGATCTGTCTGGATCAACTCAGGAATCCAGTTACTATACTCTGTGGACACAGCTACTGCATGAACTGTATTAAAGCCCACTGGAACAAAGAAGATGAGAAGAAGATCTACAGCTGTCCTCAGTGTATGCAGGTCTTCAACCCAAGACCCATCGTTGGGAAGAACACCATACTAACAGATCTAGTGGAGGAGCTGAAGAAGACCAGACTCCAAGCTGCTCCTGCTGATCACTGCTATGCTGGAGCTGAAGACGTGGCCTGTGATGTCTGCACTGGGAGGAAACTGAAATCTGTCAAGTCCTGTTTGGTTTGTTTGGCCTCTTACTGTGAAGAACACCTCCAGCCTCATTATCAATCACCTCCATTTAAGAAACACAAGCTGGTGGAGCCCTCCAAGAACCTCCAGGAGAACATCTGCTCTGTTCATGATGAGGTGATGAAGATGTTCTGTCGCACCGATCAGCAGTGTATCTGTTATCTCTGCTCTGTGGATCAACATAAGGGTCACGACACAGTGACAGCTGCAGCAGAGAGGACACAGAGACAGAGAGAGGTGGAGCTGAGTCTACAAGAAATCCAGCAGAGAGTCCAGGACAGAGAGAAAGATCTGAAGGAGCTTCAACAGGAGGTGGAGGCTGTCAATGTCTCTGCTGATAAAGCAGTGGAGGACAGTGGGAAGATCTTCACTGAGATGATCCGTCTCCTGGAGAAAAGATCTTCTGATGTGAAGCAGCAGATCAGATCGACGCAGGAAAGAGAAGTCCGTGAGGTCAGAGATGTTGAGGTGAAGCTGCAGCAGGAGATCACTGAGCTGAAGCAGAAAGAGGCTGAACTGAAGCAGCTCTCACACACACAGGATCACAACCAGTTTCTCCTCAACTGTCCCTCACTGTCAGCACTCAGACCATCTCCACACTCATCCAGCATCAACGTCCGTCCTCGGAGATACTTTGAGGAAGTGACAGAGGCCGTGATAAAGTTCAGAGGTCGACTACAGGACCTTCTGACTGACACCTGGACAAACGTTATACGAAAAGTAACCCAAGTGGATGTTCTACTGCCACGACCAGAACCACAGACCAGAGCTGAGTTCTTACAATATTCTCAGGAAATCAAACTGGATCCAAACACAGCAAACAGACGTCTGTTATTATCTGAGGGAAACAGAAAAGTGACAACAACGTGGGAATATCACTCTTATCCTCGTCATCCAGACAGATTCACTGATTGTTGTCAGGTCCTGAGTAGAGAGAGTCTGACTGGACGTTGTTACTGGGAGGTGGAGTGGAGAGGCAGTGACGCAGGACTTCGTATTGCAGTCACATACAAGAATATCAGCAGAGTGGGAAAATCTGATGAATGTAGATTTGGATTAAATGACAAATCCTGGGCGTTAGACTGCAACCAGCACCGCTGTGAATTTTGGCACAAATGTAACAAGACCCGAGTCTCAGTTCCTGGTTCCTCCTCCTCCAGAGTAGGAGTGTACCTGGACCACAGAGCAGGTCTTCTGTCCTTCTACAGAGTCTCTGACTCCATGACTCTCCTCCACAGAGTCCAGACCACATTCACTCAGCCTCTCTATGCTGGACTTTGTCTTTGTGTCACTGAAACTGAAGCAGAGTTCTGTAAAGTTATTTAGACAGAGCTTCCTTTACCACCAACACAAGTCCATCGTCTTTACGTTTTGTTTGTCATGTTAGTGGTGATAAGAAACATGTCATCACCACAGGCTCGTGGTTCCGTATGTTGACGACAACCTGCTCTTGTGTTCTGTCACCATGGTGGCAAAACAAATCCTTTTGTTGGCTTTGATTGTTGTTGTGGTTGTTTTAACACAAACGTTTTACTGATGAAACTGTTCTGCGTGACAAACATTCCAACCTCTGCAGGAATCTGACTTTGTTAGAAACATTCTTGACTGTAGGTGACCAGGTGAGGTGTTTACCATATAATATACCAGTACTGTTGTGCTCCATGGTCTGGGTGTTTTTTCTTACCCTGCAGCTAGTGCAGCCCTAAACAAATAGTTCCTCTTGACTTGGAAGTTTCTGCTTTGCTAGAGTTCATAGGTGCACTATCATGTCAGCGTACTGTACCTCTGAAATGTATATGTGTGTGTATATATATATAAATTGTACATCTGTCAGTGAGGACATGATTGTTTTTTTCTTCTATTCCTTGTGTGTGGGATGAAGGTGTAAATCTCATCAATGTGTTCATGAAATCAACGAACAAACTTCACTGATTCGATGTAGAACAAAGTGAATGAAGCTGAAGATCAAGTCAATAAATGAAGTGTTTTCTTTTCTCTTCATTCAGACTCTCTCCCACTCCCAGCTTTGATGTCAGTCATTGACTAATTACAACTTGGTAACTGGTTAAACTGAGTTTTCATGAAAGAAAAAGTGTTTTTTTTTTTAACCCCTTCTTTAGTTTTAACCTTATTCTGGTTTCTTTTCTCCTCTGAGACTTCAAACGGAATATTTCCTGTTTGTTGACAAAACCGAGGGCAAACGTTGGGGTTCATCTTGTGCTGCAGACACTGATGTAGGATCTACTGAGGCTCTAATGATCTAAGGTCTTGGTCCAGGTACTGTGTTCACGTTCTGGTACCAGTGGAGTCCGGTACCAACTGACGACATGATGGATGTGGGTCAGTGAAGACCTGTGACGGTGGAGAGTGATAATCTCTGCCTCTGTCAGGTGTGGTGTGAATGGACAGAAGTCAAGTCAGGTCAGATATGTGGCTGAACCAGCCTGACAGGGTACTGATGTTGATCAGCAGATTCCCTCACCTCCCCCCTCCTCCTCCAGTGTAAGGGTGTGTTCATACTCACTTTGTTTCGTCCACTTCAACCCAAACCTCGAGCCATTTACCCCCTGGTTCAGTTTGTTTTGGCAGGTCTGGACCCTGGACACAAACTCCATTGTGGTCCAGACCTCAAAGTTCTGGTTTCAGACCAGAATAATGCTGAGCCTGGACTGGGTTTGTGTGTGAGT